GGGTCAGGGGTCTGGATGTGGCTTAGTGGCTCAGGGTCTCTCACAGGACTGTGGTCACCTCAGGGCTCACCCAGGGAGAGGCAACTGCCGTGGTCATAGGTGGTCTGGCAGCACTTGGCTCCTCACCCTCAGCTCTGCACCACACGGGCCTCCCACAGAGCAGCTGCCTTATTTGGGCTAGCTCCTAAGCAGGATGGAGTCAGTCCTCTGTGCTTACCTGAGCAGTGCAGCCATCACTCTTGCTGTGTTCTGCTCTTTCAGTACAAGTGACTTGGTCCAGCCCACATTCAAGAAGATGGACTTATAAGGGGATGAATACCAGGAGGGGATTGTAGGGAGCCTTCTAGAGCCACCCACTCAAAGCCTGTAAAGTGACACTGGGGCTTTCTCTCTTAGGCACCCCTCCCTGCTGCCTGCCACAGTCACTGATAAGACCTTTTTATGTGCATTACAAATATTTAAATATCCATGCACTAGCACATTTGAAAACAGTGGTATTGGCTCGGCGCCTATAGCTCAAGCAGCTAGGGCACTAGTCACATACACCAGAGCTGGCAGGTTTGAATCCAGTCTGGGCCTGCCAAACAGCAATGACAACTACAACTGAAAAATATCTGGCCATTGTGGTGGGCGCTTGTAGTCCCAGCTACTTGGGAGGCTGAGGCAAGAGAATCGCTTAAGCCCAAGAATTTGAGGTTGCTCTGAGCTGTGATGCCACAGCACTCTACCCAGGGTGACAGCTTGAGACTCTGTCTCAAAAAAGAAAAAAGAAAACAGTAGTATTGACCAAACACAGTGGTTCGGGCCTATAATCCCAGCACTCTGGGAGGCTGTGAGCTAGGCTGAGCCTACAGTACTCTATCCCGGTGGCAGAGCAAGACTATCTGAAAAAAACAAAAAACAATCAGAAAACAGTGATGTTAACTCATGTCTGGGGGCTCTCTGTTCCCCAGCTGCACCACTTGTTCCCTTTAGCCCTTGGGACCCCACCAGATAGACAGGGGAGGCCAGGTTGGTGCTGGGTGCTTCTGCGTCCACAAGGTGAAGCCCAGCCATGGGGAGTATTGTGAGCTGACTGGCCTCCTGATCCCAGAGGCAGACTCAAGGCCTCAGAGCCTGCCTGCCTGCTTATGCCCCTTCTTGAAGTAGTTGTGTAAGTGTCTCCTCTGTCTCAGTCTTCCTATAGCATGCACAGTGCTGTCCTGCCCTTACACCTGTCTCCCCACAGGGCACCCCATACCATCATCAAGTGCATAACCAATCAGGGATTCCAGACTTTCACTGGGGGTGTGTGTTGTTTTATCTGTAGCAACTTCCCTGTTCTCATTATTTTACAGACTCTTTCTAAGTTGTAGTAGCTACTTATTATTACATTGAAGTACAGTATTGATAACATAGTCCTATATGTTGAAACATGGACCAGAGGTGGAAAGTAGTATCCATGTGGCACATTTGACCATTACAAGTCCGATTTTTATTTATTTTTTTATAGAGACAGAGTCTCACAGTTGTGTTGGTGTGAGCTGTGATGCCACTACACTCTACCAAGGGTGACTCTGGTAGCAACCCAACTTCTGGGCTTAGGCGATTCTCTTGCTTCAGTCTCCCAAGTAGCTGAGGCTACAGGCGCCCACCAGAACGCCTGGCTATTTTTTTCTTTGTAGTTTGTATAGGGCTGGGTTTGAACCCACCACCCTTGGTATATGGGGCCGATGCCCTACTCACTGAGCCATGGGTGCTGCCCACAAGCCCTTTTTTTAATTCCTAGGAATAGTTCAGTACAGCTGAGAAAACATCTAACCAGATACACATTTTACATGGAAAGGGCAAAAACAACATTCTCTGAAATGAAGCTGCTAGTCTGGAGTCTTTACAGAAACTGGTTCAGAGAACATCTGACATCTTTGGAAAGGAGAGCTGCACCATGTGTGCCTAGCAGGCTATTTTACTGGTGTCTCACAACACTAAGGGGCTGTTTCTTCTGTCTTTTCAGAAGCAGTCGAACGCCTCTCAGACTCTCTGCGACATTGTTAGGCTAGGCAGAGACCAGGGCAGTGACCTGCCAGAGGCTTCGGAGCCAGACCCTCTTCTCACCGTACTGGAGTCGTGAGTACTGGTTGGGGGACTTCTCTGAAACCCAGAATGTGCTGCCTCTTCCTCGGTTTCAGATTCTGAAGAGCTGGTTATGAAATACTCCCAGGTTCAGAGCCCAAGTAAAGTTGATGGGCTTGTTTCTCAAGAGGGAGCAGTCTCCAAAGGAGATCTGGCAGGTCCAGAGTTGGGGCAGCAGGGCCATTTCTGGGGTCCTGCACTGGGAGAAAAGGCCACCTGCACTATCTGTGTATGCATCTGCCAGGCAGAACTGCGTGGAGCAACTCCTGAAGAACATGTTTGACGGAGACCAGACTGAGAGCTGCCTTGTCAGCGGGACTCAGGTGTTACTCACCTTGCTGGAGACCAGGCGGGCTGGGTGAGTCTCTCTCAAGGAAAGCAATGAAAAGGTGGAGTTTGGCACTTCACTGATGCAACAGCCCAGATAAATAGTTGGGGCTATATTATTTGTGTTCTTAATTAATTTTTGGTTATGCAAGTAATAATATGGATAGACGCCCCTTGTTAAAAAGGCTCATCTTAAGCTGCACCAAGTTCTCTTTGCCCCTCATCATCTGCTATGGTTCCACCCAGCTCCAAGGCACCCACCCTAGTCTTGCAATGTGTTTATAGACATGTATCATAGGTGTGGGCAGCTGGCAGGCTTTCCCCAAGGACTGTGCTGACAGGTCCTCCTGTCTGCTATGGATGCATGTGCCATGGGAAACACAAGACACAAGGCTGCTGGGTGGAGCCTCTGGGTCAGGAGGTTTTCCTTGAGAGGCCACATCTGGTTAGGCTGAGGTAGTGAGGGGGTCCCACTGTGGACACGTTCGTGGAGGTAGTATATGGGTGAGACAGTTACACCTGAGAGGCAGAGTTGGGGAGACAGCAGGAGAAGTAAGTTTAAGTGAAAAAGGTTGAGTTTCTTTTTTTTCTTTTTTTTTTTTTTGAGACAGAGCCTCAAGCTGTCCCCCTGGGTAGAGTGCTGTGGCATTACAGCTCACAGCAACCTCCAACTCCTGGGCTCCAGTGAGTCTCCTGCCTCCGCCTCCCAAGTAGCTGGGACCACAGGTGCCCGCCACAACGCCCGGCTATTTTTTGGTTGCAGCCGTCATTGTTGTTTGGCGGGTCCGGGCTGGGGATTCGAACCCGCCACCTTAGGTGTACGTGGCTGGCGCCTTAGCTGGTTGAGCTATAGGCGCCGAGCCAAGGTTGAGTTTCTTTTGGGATACAGGTGCTCAGTGCTCTTCTAGGACATCAGGTAGAAATCTCGGGAAGTCTTTGAAACTGTCTCTGGATCAAGGGTCCTAGTCTGGCTTTTGGGTCACAGCTGGCTGGGTGCTATCAAGACTATCTGAGCAAATGAGAATCTTAGTGGGATACTCCATGAGCAGCAGATGGAGGCCAGGAGTAGGGGCAGCAGATAAGGGAGTGCTGGAGATTTCTGGAAACTGTCCTTCATGACCTCTTTCTGGTCCTCGCATTTGTTACTGGTCTTAGGTCCCTTGCAGTCCATAGGCCGTGCATTCTCCAGGGTGTCCCTGTTTGCTCTGTACTGTCAAGTGTTGTGACAGTGTTGTACCCTCCCAAGGTGGCCGTAGTTGCTGTATGTCCACATGTTGGGGAGACCGTCGTACCTTCATTAGCCCCTGGCACTGATGGCCTGTGCTTTTTTTTTTTTTTTTGAGACAAAATTTCATTTTGTCACCCTTGGTAGGTTGCTGTGGCATTACAGCTCACAGCAACCTCCAACTCTTGGGCTCAAGTGATTATCTTGTCTCAGCCTCCCAAGTCACTGGGACTATAGGTACCCAGCACAACGCCTGGCTGTCTTTAGAGACAGGGTCTCACTCTTGTTCAGGCTGGTCTCGAACTTGTGAGCTCAGGGCAATCCACCTGCCTCAGCTTCCTAGAGTGCTAGGATTACAGGTATGAGCCACCACACCCAGCCAGCCTGTGCTTTTTTTTAAATAAAAGGAAAAAAGAACAGGAAAATGATAAGAAATTGGCTTAATCTTATTAGTAAGATTATTAGCAGTCCTCCCTCATACTACTTAATTCACATTTATTAGATTATTCCCTAAATATAGAAGTATGACATTATAATTGTTTTCTCTAGTTATACAACAGGAATGTTGATTTTTTTTTCTTTAAATCTTGTAAACCCAGGAAATCTGGGCTACTTCTGTGGCCTGAGTTCAACCCTGCATGTAATGAAGGGGACATTGCAAAAATTATCAAAACACAGATAAACTAGCTGTTTCTCTTTCGTTTTTTCATCCTTTTATATGTTAAATTTTTAAAATAATGATTATGTATTACTGTCACAATTGAAAAACATTAAAATAAATAGAAAAGGTTGCTCAAAAAAAGCCAGAGGGATGGCTTGGCTCCTGTGGCTCAAGTGGCTAAGGCGCCAGCCACATACACCTAAGGTGGCGAGTTCGAATCCAGCCCGGCCCGCCAAACAACAATGACG